GAATTAGGACCCACCCCAGTGAACTCATTTCACTTAATTACTTTGTAAAACCAGTATTTTCACGTACAGTCACATCTGAGGTGCTGTGGTTAGGACACCAATGTATATTTTGGGGGGACACAATTGAGCTGTAATGAGGTGCCAGAGTCAGGTCTGAAAGTGCCCTGAGCAGAGCCCAGCTGTCAGGCCGGACCCCTCCTGTGATGGTGGTGAGCTGGTCCATGTTCTGGCTCCTGGCCCCTCCCTGGCCTCCCAGCCTGAGCAGGAGCAGCTGGGTGACAGGAGCCTTGGGTGCAGAATTAGCAGCAGAAGCACCTGGAGGGACTGAGTGTCAGAACTGCCAAGGGTTCCGCTGCTCGGGGCGCTGGCGCTGGGAGGCGGGTGTGGTTCGGGTCCCCAGTTCTCCTGCCCCACTGGGACTCTGGCCGCGCCTGCCAGCCCTGTCTCTGTGGCAGTGGGCACCACGTGGGTCCCGTGTGAGGCTTACCTGCCCTGGAACTATTTTTAGCAGAGCCTCGCTGAGCCACCTGGCTCACTTCCCCTCTCTGATTTGCCAGCAGCCTGTTCTGTCCCCTTTGTCCCTGAGGGGGTGACACCACTCTGTATCTGTCTCCCTTTGGGAAGGGCGAGTGTGCAGCTCGTCCCCTGCCATGAGCAGGTGGGGTCCTGGCGGCTTGTACAGGGGCCGTAAACCCAGGAGGCAGCGCCTCAGTCCCAGGACCAGGCCGTGCAGCTGCCCGGCTCCTGGAACACGCCAAGCCTGTTAGCTACTGAAGGGACTTAGACGCAGGCTCAGGCTCGCTCGCCACCTCAGCACTAATGAGAAGGCGCCCTGTGCACCGGCTGGGCTGGCTGTCCCGCCTCCCACGCCCTGACGCGGCTCATCTCTTCAGGTGGCATCTTCTGAGGCCCTGGGAGCCGGGGGCTTCCTCGCCCAGGTTGTCCTGTGTAACCAGGTGATGGGAGCAGGCGGAGAGCTGGCTTCCAGGCCTTTCTCAAGGGAACCCTTGTCTTCACGTGTCAGGAGCAGCTTGTGGCTGAGGGCTCGCTGTGGCCTCCCCCAGCTTGGGCTGAGGCCCCAAGGCCTCTCGGGCCCCTCTGGTCCTGTTTCCCCTTCTGTAACACAGGGCGGTTTAGAGCCCGAGAACCTGCGATACTGGAATTATGACGTTATAATTGTAGAAATACAAGTTAGCATCACTATCGATACTGTTTTACACTAGACTCGACTAAAATTAAATCCGATTACAGTGGGAATGGATGTCGGTGGCATCCCCTCAGAAAGTTCAGCATCGTCTGGAACAGTTCAGATGGGCACAGCCTGTCCCCCGGGGACTCCTGTCCGGGGACGGTCCCAGCAGCACTTGCAGGAAAGCCCAGCAGGGCTCTCATCACGGCAGAGGCTACAAACAGCCCGCGTGCCCCTGGGAGATGCCAGGCCCCGCTGTGGGCCATTCCCACACTGGTTCCCGTCCAGCAACGGACATGAGCTGCAGCTACACATGACCACGTGAAGGATTTTAGAAACGAGACGGAGCAAAGACAGCAGATCACCAAAGACTAAGGTTCAAAAAAAACGGAGCTTGACACTGTCTTGATGGGGTATAAGAAAACGTAAAGGAATGGTGGTGGTCACCCTTGGGGTGGTGGTGAGGGGGGCTGGGAGGAGGAGCCCCGGGTGTTTGCTTCATCACACCTCAGAGCGTGTGTGTTAGATACACGCTTATGCTGGAATGCACTGCGTGTTTTTTAAAAGCTCACACCGGCATCAGGGGAACGGCCCCATCTGTGTTGCTGCCACTTTGAAGCATCGTGTTTGTGTCATTAGGTTAAAAACTATTTTAAGGGGTACAGCAGCCAGCGCTCTTGGGGACCGCTGAGTCAAGGCCCCTTCCCCACACCTTCCTGCTTTGCCAGCCTCGGGCCTTGGGGAGAGGCTGGTGAGGGCATGGCTAGGTGGGGAGCAGGGTGTCTTCCTGCCATCACCCTTTCAGAGGGGGAGGCGGGGGGGCCCCTGTTGTCGAAGGTCTGTGAAGTTAGCACATGTGGCGTGTGGTCAGGGCGGTCTGGCCGGCGGGGCCAGGTGGTGGGCCGAGAGGCAGC